TCTCATTATTAAAAGTAGAGAACTTATCAGTATGCCTACACATGGCAAGGGTGGAAAGGTCTAAAGTGAAATGTAGGTGAAGATCATTTTGATGCCTTTAACCATTTCTGGACATTTTTGCTTTTGTTTATATTTTGCTTTTGCTTTTGTTTGTAACATCCTTCGGCATCTCCGAACTGGAAATATTAGAAAGTTAATCGTAAGGCTTAATTATATTTGGGGCTGTTCAGTCAACAGTTATTTAGGGAGGTTATGGAACCAATAAATCATAAGAAAACATAACCAAAAAGTTATGTAGGAAGAAAAAAGTTTAGGAAGAAAAAGTTATTTAGAAGCTTTGAATAGTTCACAGTTAACCAGATAATTCAGGAAAGTCCAGACACTGTTAATTGAGTAAAATTACTTAGTGCCAATAGGATGCTTTTTCATCCTCTATCAAAAATAAATATAATAATTCACAAAGACATAGCATCTGGAAAACATCTTAAATAATAACCAAAGCACACTGTGAAATCCTTTGTGTCCAGCCCATTGAGCCTGTTTAATAGAAAGTTTCATGCTGCCCCCACTGAACATCAGAGCATGCTAAGGCAAATATGCTAATTTAAGATAAAACAACATAATGATATTGAAGAAAGCAATAGAAAGAAAATCCTCTTCCACGACCAGCTGCTCACCTATATAGGCTCCACTGTTGTTACCAGCATATTCAGCATCTTCTGGAAGGAGTGTAAAAGCATACAGAACAAAAGCCAAGAAATAAAGCAGAACAGTTAGAAGCCCAGCCACAGACACAAAAAATAAATTACTTAAAACAATTATGTAAAGCACAGCATAGAACAGCCCTCACAATGCCGTTCTTAAACATAAAACATTTTGTTTTATATTTAAGTTTAAAGTAGTATTTTGAAACATCATGCAGGGTTTGTTTTTTTGACCCTCTTCAGAGGTTCCTTGGTGCAGTTCTGAGAAAATTATAAATTATAAAAGACTTATCTGAGATGTTTATACTTTCACAGTTAAGAAAATTATGGCACTTACTCTTGGAAGTAAATTTATTTTTGTAAATCAGGCTCTTTGCTAGTATGGAAAATATAGCATTTACTTTGGCTCACTGGATTAGACAGAAAGGTTAAAATTAAAAATATCCTTTTTACTGATAGGAAGAGATTCCATGTTGGGAAGAAATAAAAGGAAAATATTTCTACTTTTATTTTGTTCACTTTTTAAAAGAACGGATAAAAACTTTAAGTAAATAATGTGCTATTATTCTGGGAATTAAATGAATACAGGGCTATGCAGATCTTAAAAACTTAAATAGTGGAGTATTTATTATTTTAGGCCTATAATCTTCACATAAATACACTTCTGGAACTAACAGAATGGACCGTGCAGAAATCAAATAGTTGAGAAGATGTTCCCCACATCCTTATGTCCAAATAAGTCTGTCAATAGATTTGAATAACACTGTTTTTTTCACCTACATTTATTTGCAGAGATAAAACTATTTACAGAGATGAATATGTTCTATATTTCTGCGACATGAAGCAGCAAAAAAATGTACATTTCTTTCTAAAACAAAGTCCAACCACAATTTTTGGTACTGTAATGTCAAAATGGAAGTTTGGATGGACAATATAGTACATTTATAAATTGCTTGCTATATTCAATTTAATCCCACACATATGTGCACTAAATAAAATTACTAGACTATGTAGGGAAACTTTTATACATGTACCTTTAATTTCCTCTGAGAAGCACAAAGAAAATGAGAAAGGAAATGATTAAATGTGCAGAAAATACAATTAAAGTATGAAGATGTTGCATTCAAGAAAAAAAAAAAAAAGCCACCTACCACACTCAACTGTTTCCTCATCTTAGTAAAGCCAAAGGAAAAAAAAAAAACAAATGTATTTAAATGTTCAAAATAATCAGTCAACAAATAAATAGAATTTATGAAAAACTACATTTTTGACTGCATTGCAGTCTTGGTCTAAAAAGAATTATACACTTAAGTAGTAAAAACACAGATGTCATAAAGCTTATTAAATAACCTAACGTGAAAAATAACAAGAAAAAAAATCTTCAGCATTTTTCAAAATAAGACCTTCAGTAAGGGAATTATATTTATTTTCATAGAAAAGTTTTATTTATAAATCAATTTGTTCAAGACCTTAAAGAAATTTCATGATAAAAATACTGAAAAGAGGACAGGATTTTAGAAACAACAAATTTTGTCCTTGAAATGTCTAAATATTCTGTAAATTTAATAATATCCTGATGATTGCCAATTTATTACACATATCAAATGAATCAGGCAGAACCCTTCATTTTCATTCTGTCTTTATTATTTATTTATTTATTTTAATTTAATTTTTTTTTTTTTGCGGTTGGCCGATACAGAGATCTGTCTATAGCATTTAATGAAAGGTATTTCAAAAAGTAATCCTGAACAATTCTTAAGTTTTAAATTGCTGTTACTCATTTAAGTATGACTTAGGAGACTCACCTTCAGTTAAGGTTAG